CACAGGTCATAATTTGTGTTGCAATAAAGGTATTTGTTTATACACTCCATTTCCCCTAATATAATACACTTAAAACACTGACTTGATTATTCAATTTAATACACAATAGGCACCATTGCTTGATCAATCTTACATGTGGAAGGCTCTCAATATATTAACTGAACAAAATATCAAATTTACCTCATATGAAACAACATATTCAGAGCTATCTTCATATTTAAATACTAGGACAAATGACATGAGAAAAACATCTGGCTCACAATTATAAAATGAAATACTTGCCTTGAAATCAACAGTTTATGCCAGAATAGGTTACTGCATCATTTCAATTATAAAATGAAATACTTGCCTTGAAATCAACACTTTATCCCAGAATAGGTTACAGAATAGGTTACTGCATATCTATAGCTGCGGCTTGTATTTTAGAATAACGACCTGTGAAGGCAGCAAGTTAGCTTACCTGATGGGCTTTGGGGTTGTGCCTAGTGTAGAGCAGGAAGCGAGTGTTTATCTCCTCTGGAGACCAGGGTAAACCTGCCAACTGTCTTGACAAAGTCGAGGTCCATGGTAAGCCATCTTTAAAGCATCCCACCCTTTCATAGCAAACTTCTTTTCCTGCAACAAAAAGATGGGAGTGTCAGTATTGTAGGAACCAGGCCCACCGAGAGGCTGTTGGGTTGATGGAACCCACTGAGGGTTAAGGGAAATTCATCTTTAAGTTAAGCAAGTCTGACTAAAAGCTTCTCCTCACAAAAAGCCCCCCACCCCCGCATATTATGACCATGACTGTGCAGGTTACAGCACTGCAGATGGAGTGTGCGGGTTTGGAGGAGATAGTGCTAGCTTTGCACTATTACTTTACCTTTTATGAGTCTGTTTCCTCTTCTGCAAAATGGAGACAATACCACTTCCCTTACAGCCTTGTTATGCAGACTAAGTGATCTAGGACAGAGGAGAGCCCTTGTACAGGGGCCTGAGGCATCAAATGGGATAGTGCGTCTTCCCTGAGCTTCTGCCTTTTCTCGTTGGACGGCAAGCTCTTGATGGAAGGGAACTCTTTGTCCCCAGAGCCTAGCACCAAGCCTGGTACCCAGGAGGAGTCTAAAATATGTTTCCTGAGAGTGTAAATGAGGGCAAACTTTCATGTAGTCTTAACCACGTTTCTTCTTTCTGAAACTCACTTTACTNTTAATAAAGTAGAAAAGGCAGAAAAATATTTTGTTCTCTTTGGATTCCATCTGGTACACCCCTGTAGAATGGCATACTAACCTAGAAAATGGGAAATGCCAGACATCATGAAGTCAAAAGAAGACAACGGGAATTCTGCTGCCACAATGAGAGAAACCAAAAAGGGTGTCAGAACAGAACAGAACAGGTTATCCAGAGAAAGGGCTAGTTAAGTATCAATGCTTAGCTGGGTGCTTGGGCTTTTACTCTTAACGTTCTCATCTTGAGGAGTCTGCAGCCTAACTGGTGTGAGATCAACCCATTCTACAACTGCTGGCTACTTTACAGGTGATCTCATTTTTAGTAAGTCAAAAACGGTCACCAGTTAGGTATGCTCCAGCCTTGACAATGGCTGCAGGCACAGAAACCACCATAATTATGCAAAATGTGCATCACCCCTGGCGTCTGCATGAGCCACTGTAGATTAAAGAGTCATGGGTTCGTGTGGGAAGCGGGTTGTTTTATTCTTGCAGAAAGGTAGCTGTGAAGACCTATGACTCTCAGAAGACCAACTTTATTGCACCATATTTCCCCTTAACAATTCCTCACTTCAGGAAAAGAGTATGTTAAACCATTGCATAGTTTACCCTGCTTTTCCTTAAACAAAGGCAGCCAAATTTAGACAGTACAGCATATGGGTTAAGCCTGGGACAATCCTTTTTTTTTTTTAGTATAACATCTTGACTCATCCTATATCCTAGCTGTTGTTAAAAGACACTTTAACAGCACACCCTCAGGCTTCCGTCCATTGTGAAATTCAGGTACAGATCTGGGTTGTTACTCATGATTCTTTCCATGAGGAAGGGGGTGGGGAAGGTGTGACGAACCCTGTTTTTATGGATCCTTTATTAGGAAAGCACTTGGTTTCTGATATTCTCTTCCTTGCCTTTAGGGCCCAGCCACGCCTTCAGACTAGTCTTCATCATCTTCTGTCTCAGTGCCTGCGCTCTGCAAGGTTCAAGGGCATGGCCACTGTGCAGAAGGATGAAGGACCAGTGAGTCCTATGAGGGCTGAGGGTCAAGACCAGGAGCTACAGTTAGTTCTGAATGGACACATATATCCTGAAAGTCTTAAACCAACAGAGTTGGTTGAAGGTGCCCCATGTAGATTCTATTTACATTTTACAAATTGTGGTAAAATATACATCACAGAAAACTTATAATTTTTAAGTTCAGTAGCACTAAGTCAATCACATTGTTGTACAGCCATCACCACCAACCATTTCCAGAATTTTTCATCATCCCAAANCAGCAGGTGCTGAGACCTACTACGTGCTAGGCCCTGTCCTAGCCCTTTTACATCGATTAACTTATTTAATCCTCATTTACAGATCAGGAAACCGAGGCCCAGATAAGCTAATGAGCTTGCCCACGATCACATATCTAGTAAGTAGAACCATGGTGTGAATTCAGACAGCCTGACTCCACCACGCTATATATGGCCTCATAAATAGTTAATTGCTTGCTATGCTAGCAGCCTATTAATCTGGAGTACAAGAGAGGAAAATTAATTTCTTGGAGTGAACTTAGAAATTTTTTTCTCTTAAATTAAATGAGAAATTGATCACACCATTCAATCTTTGGTGAAAGGTGAGAGTTTATCAAAGAATAATTTTTAAAAATATGCTATCATGATAATCTATGCAATTCATAATAAGTGAAAATAAAAAGGAAATGGATAATTCGTTTGAGGTGTTGGGACCATGTGAACAACCAAATGGATAATTTTCGTGAATGTGCATCAATACTATGCAAAGTACATTCACGTTACACATAAAGCTTTTCATACTAGTGTAAAGAAGAGTTTATCCGCATCATACATTGCACATGTCTTGCTGCCATTTTCCATCTGATTTCCATCCAGGTATGTTGATACGGGTCATCTTGTCTGTTCTGAAGTGTGAGGCTTGGATAGTTTGATAATTAACTGCACTGATCTCCTGTTTCAAGTGAAAAGAGATTAAGGTAAAATAATAATTCAAAATCATTTAACATTTAGTAGAATTACTTTAAATCTGCTCAAAAGTCTTCCATTAAATTTAATTTTTAACAACCTTCTTTAATACATTTTTACCAAAGAAATAGTGAACGCCACATATTGCAAAAGTACCAAAAATTATTAATGCATTGCAAAAT